ATATAGAGGGGAGAGTATGGCTCCTAGAAAGGTAGCTCCAAAAAGTGGTACATTGTGTGATGGTATATACCTATCCTTCTCTTGACTTTCCAGTCTACAGAAGAATAAAAGCAGTGCTTCTTCTCTGAGGTAATGGTTAGATGATACCTTACTTTTCTTGTTGTTGAGACAAAATACCTGACACCCAAAGTTAAAAGAGAAAAGAATTATTTCAGTTTACAGTTCATAGAGGTTTCAGTCCATAGTCAGCTGGCTCCAAGGCAAGGTGGCATGGCAGAGAAGCATCACAGAGGGGAAACAGTTCATGGCAGACAGAAGGCAGTGAAATAGAAAAGCAGCAGCAGCCTTCTTTCTGTCCATTATATTCCATCCAGGGTACCCACCCTTTGGGCAGGTAGCACTGACAACCAGGGTAGGGCACCCTTAATCTCAGCATCATATACCACCTCCGAAAAACCCCATGTATGACCACATGAGACTTTAGGGAGACATCTAGATACAAGCCATAACAGATGGGTATTCTCAGGAGATTTGTTCAGTATGCTCCACATAACGATATTTCATTAATTCACAGTGTGTGAGATACAATGTAATGTGAGTACAGTGTAGTGTCTAAGGAAAAATGGTGTTTGATTCTGACATTATGTGCCCAAATTTCTTGATCTCCCTGAGCCTCAGTTTCTTTATCTGCAAAATGGCGACAGTACCAGGTGTGGAGGCCATGCCTATATTCCTAGGGCTTGTAAGACTGAGGCAAGAGGATTGATATTGGGCTATATAGTGAATTCAAGGCCAGCCTGGTATACAGAGCAAGACCCTTCCTCAAAGGCAGGCGGAGAGCCAATAGCAATATCTACTTGTAAGGATTGTTGTGCATAAGTGTTTAACAAATAGGGACTATATTATTAGGCTCTGAAGAGTAAGAGAGAATATAAAGAAATATACAGCAAATTCCCATCTTCAAGGAGCTTACATTCTGGTTGGAAGTGATCAAATAAAAAGAAAATTGAATGGGAACAAAAGGAAAGAGAAACTGGTTTAGGGGGATGAGGAAAAAGAAAGAATGGAAAAGCAAAGGAAAAAAATATGTATATATATAAAAATAGTTAAGATAGGTAGGCTGCTGATTTCTCTCAGTCCACTGAAAAGATAGGTTTGTGCTAATATTGTCTGGATAATTAAATGCTGCTATCTCATACTCTGAGTAACTAATTTAAAGATAACAATACGCAATGTGGCAATGTGTTGACCATTGTTACCCTCCTATCATATTATTTTGGAATTTTGCTTTTATGTTTATGTGTTTATTGTGTTTTTTCTTTTTCTTTAAAATAAAAATTTTTTTAATAAAAGAAAATTGACAATACAGAGCAGAAAATGATAGTGCCTAGTGAGTGCTGTAGATGAGGAGTTCAGCATTTAGCTGAGGACTAGGTTGATGGCAAAAAGTTTCAGTACAGAGGTAGGCATTTTTTTCTTGATTTGCAGGCTAGGTGGAATTCAGATATGTAGAATGTAATTGAGAAGGCATCTTAGATGGCAAGGGGGAGGAGTGATCAAAACACACAAAACAGCAGGTCTGGGATAAGGCCAGATTGGAAAGCATGCTGGCGTTTGAACCAGACTATTAATCTTGAGAATCTTAGCTGGCTGTGAGATCTATGGTGGACAAGTACCTTAATGACTTAAAATTGACATCTACCATATTAATAATGGTATGGGTTGTGCCCATCAAGTTAAGTTGAAGGGATTAAATGAAAGATTGTTTCATGATGCCTGGCACCTTCAGTAAAATAAAAATAATTCATATTATGTTTTCAGAGGACAATGAGAGAGCTGTCTGTCTAAAGAATTGTGTTACTTGCTGTAGGCAAGTAGAAAACAAACCAGAAAGGGCAGTTAGTTCCTATGGGCAGAGTGGGGAGGAGGCCTGAGGCCAATTTAAGGACCTGGGCTGTTACAGATAATAAGAACTATAAAGACTTTGGAGTAAAGTAGGAGTTTAGGATAGTTAATCTCAGGGCACTCTGAAGGCTGTGTTGGAGGAGGGAAGAAACTCACTGGTGCATATGTAAGGTGATCAAGGTCTAGATTAGGATAGTGGCAGGGTTACTAGACCTCATCTCCTTAAGCTGCTTTACAGCTTAGAGCTCAGTGTGAAGGGAGCTTTTTTGTTTGTTTTGTTTTTGTTTGTAGACTTAATATTTAGTGTCAGTTGACCAGAACAAAAGTAGGATAGAACCATAACTTTGGAAAATTGAGCTCACTCAGTATCCAGGGACTATAAAGGTGGGAAGTAACTTTGATGCTAAATAGCCCTATAACTTGCTTCAGCTAATAAAATAGCCCTTTTAAAAAAGCCCCTGTCCCCTTTCTGTTAATTCTAATTGAGTATGTCTACCCTTATTTTTTAGGAATATACCTGTACAGATCATTTATAATTGTATAGAATTTGAGGTTAGGGTTTTCATAACAAGAAGCACTGAGGTAAATGGGGAACTAGCCAAGCAATTTTGATGACTTTATTTGGTGGTAGTGTAATTTGGATAGCATTCTGTCTTTTCTCTGGTTTTGAGAAGTGATTTAATTAACCTGTCAGGTATGATGGTGAACACTAGCTACTTGGGAGGCTGAGGCAGGAGGATTACAAGTTTGAGGCCAATTTAGGCAATTTAGACACTATCTCAAAAAATAAAAAGGGCTGGGGATTTAACTCAGTGCAAAGGCCCTGAATTGAACCCACCCCCATAAAAAAAAACCCAGAACAACGAGAAGACACAAACTTACTAAATTGCTTCAAATTCTGTGGAATTTATTTATATTGTCTCATACTCTTTCAGCATCTCTCTTTTTTTCTGACCATAGTTTTGTAATGGGATAGTACATAGTAGAAAATTGTACTTCTAAAGAAAATCATATTGATTATATTGACACTGATTTTAAAAACATTAGAAAATTATGACTGTGGTAGGCCTTAAATATTAAATAGTAAGGAATAACTTGACTGATCATTTCCTGAACTTTACTGTAGGCAAAGGGCTGCAACAGTCAGTATCATGCTAATAGCTTTGAGGTATCTGAATGTACATTGGTCTTCTCACAGGAGGATGCATATGAAACAGTATTGGATGCAGTGGTTGACAAACATAGAAGGACCTAGTGACAAAGGAAAAAGTAGACTCTGAGGTTAGAGACAAAGTAAACTGGTTTAGTCCTGCCACTTCTGAGCAAGGGCAAGGAGCATGATGTGTTCATTTTTCATCTCCTGAGTTTATTTAAAATGTTCCCTGGGATGGAGAGGAAAGAAAACGTGATCTTTAAGGCTGATTGAGATGCACAGATGCAGATTATGTCCAGTTCCTGACTTCCCCTTTAACATTCTCCCTTGGAAAGGGAAAACTGCCAAAGAGGCTCAATTCAAGGGAAGGAAGAGAAGAGAACAAAGGACTCCTGGTTTTTAATGAAATATTTTATGAATATATGTTGTTTTGGATTTCTGACATCTCTGCCATCATAATAGATCATCCAAAGTAGTCACTGGGTAAAACCCTGGGCAGGGGATTTGGACCAGGTAGCATTGGAAAGAGGATTTTCAGGGGGCTGCCAGCATTAATTTCATGGGGCTGAAGGGACTTCATCAGAGGCCAGCCTCTTGTCTTCCATGGGTGGCTGGCCTTGGAAAGGGCCTCCAAGCAGATTTCAGCCTTGCTCCTTTTCCAGCCTCTGCCTTCTGTTCTTACAGTGGGACCTCTCTTTTTCTCTTCTCCCTTTTTTCAATTAAATGAATTAATTACTAGACATTTAACTTTTTGCCAGACTCTTTCATTATGCCCAGAGTTGTTGCTGAGCGGCAAAAGGAAGTAATAACATTCACAGTGAGGGGCAAATCCTGTTAATGAACAAATTAAAGTTCAAACAGTGATTCAAGTTCACAACCTCTCCGTGGCTCTTCTCTTTAATAAGAGTTATGCATGTTACTTTCCTCGCTCTTTTCTCCCTGTTATTACTTTTTAAGCTTTTCATCAACACTGCCGGGGCATATTTGAGGCTCCCAACCTTTCAGCCCTGACAAGGACTCAGAGCAGTTATAATCCTGTCTTAATTTGGCAACTTTTGTAAAACACATAAAGGGCCCAGGGTCACCTTTGGTTGCCAAGGCTGAGGGTGACCCTGTAGCTTCCACCTCCCACCAGGGCTGCAGTGAGTGGGCTGCTCCTTTGGAATTCAAACCCCCCTGGTAGTCAGGAGCAGATGACTTAACTTCACACTCCTGGGCACAGCCATGCAGAACCAGTCCACTAGTGTTGGAGCCTGTACTTCTTTCTGTTTCCTTTCCAGTCAGTTCCCTCTTCCGCCTTGAACTCCTACCAGCTTGTTGCAGTCCTGGGCAGGAGGGGGCTCTGTGAAGGGAAGAAGGAGTCTCTGAACTAAAAGCTGGGAAAATGTGGGGAGATGGTGTCCAAGTAGGAAGGATGCTTAACACCTTCCCACCACTACCATGCTGAAGAACAGGAAGGCCTTCTCAGGTCCTGGCAGGAAGAGCCTGAAAGGGGTCTTGTGTCTGTCTCCTTGTTCCCGTTCAGTGTGTGTGTGTCTGTGCGTGTGTGCATGTGCATGAGTGTGTGTGTGTGTGTGTGTATATATACTATGGATTGTGTAGGGGTCTTTTCCACCTTGACTCCTGGCTTCTCACCATCCCTGAGCATGGCTAGATATAATCACCATGACAACTGCAGTCTATGAGCATACACATAATAGAGATGAAATAGACAAAAGATTAGCATGCCATGAAAAGTACAATAAGTTTCTTATTTAGCATTTAGATAACTGTCTTTCCTTCGGAGCAAGCTTCAAAGTTGAAGCCAGTTTAGACCAAGAGGATTAATTCTTTCTCCCGCATGCTTCATTGAATCTCTCATTACCAAACTTTGTCTGTATTGATGTAAGATTTGATTGAAGATTAGAGCATTTAGCAAATCTTGCTTTTCTGCATGTATCAGGTCCTTTCAAGCACGGATCGCAGTGCCCAGTGGTCAATACCCTTACTTTTATCCAGTGTCTGCTTCATTTAAACTTAATCAACTCCATCAATGAACTGGAACAGGGAAACGTCCCTGCGGTAAGAATGTTGTGCTTTTGTGGGATAATTCTTTGCTCTTTCCCGATCTGTTGGCGTTAAACCTAAAATTGTACTATGATGAACTTTTTTTTAATCAATATGATAATGACAATTGGGCCTGAACGCCCTGGTAGGACTTAGAGTAGAGCAGGATCTGGCCCCCATTACCAAAACAACTTCTCATCCTGCAATAGTCCAACTCCTTTTGTGTGGCTTTAATACCTTTCTTCCCTGACATTGAATGTTGCTCAAGCTGGAAAATGATGCGTCTTTGTAGAGAAAGCTCGTATGTCACAACCAGAAAGTGAAGCAGACCGATTGGTTGTGTGAATTATCTGACTTGCTGCAGTGAATTATTTGCACTGTTTCCCTACCTAGTCAACAAGTTCCTGAGGTATAGTAGAGATCAATCAAAACTGACAGCCTGCATGTGAAGGCTTTACTGTGTAAATCTGGCATACTCATCCTGGCCATGCAGGCCCTGGCATCTGTATATCATTTTTATACTGCTACCAGTAGAGCAATTTCAAAAGTATTTGCAAGGAAAATGCGTGTCCCCATCTGTTCCTGGAAGAATAAATGTGCCACCTTCAGAGGGTTTTCACTGGTAATCATATCTTTAATGATCAACAGACTAGTGATATATACCTTTCCATAAAATGGGGTTTTCTTTACTTTATTGTGATTGGCTAGAATAAATAGCTTTTCCATATGTTAGGGAGATAAAATATAAGATTAGCAGAGGTCGTTTGTTGGATAGTAAACAAAAGAAACAATTCATTTCAAATAATCTTTGAAAAGAAGCAATGACAAAATTTAAGTTGCAATAACAAAGCATCTGAGGCCCCACATCAGGAAACAGACCTTGTTCCTCCTTGGAAAAGGGCCGTTTAAGAGCAGAAAGTCAGATTCTTCTAGGAGACCCTGGTGGCTTATTGTTAGAGTTGCCGGAGGGAGAGAAGCAGAGGAGGAAAAGAGGACTAGACTGATACTTGTTTGTTTTACTTCTCTTGTAAGGTCCAATTTCCTGTCCCTTACTTTACCTGGTCTTTTGCTGCCCCACTGCAACACCCTCGGTAAGTTGATGGATGGTATGTTCTAAAGCAGGGAAATGACACCCCATTGACTTTCTCTTCAGGACCTTCAATGAAAGAGAGGTTTTCCACATACTTTAAAATAAAAGTCAACTTCCTTTGCTGGAAACTTCTCTTCTCCCACAGAAAAGGGACATTCTGAGGTTGGGCAGAGTTCCCAGCTTTAGGTGAAATTCCAGAGCCTAGGGAGAGAGGTTTTGGGACCTGCTGGAGAACTCCCAGGAAATGAATGCTCTTAGTGATAGAATTCCACCTGTGTAGGTTACAGTCCCAGCAGCAATCAGGCAAGATAACTACATCCCCCTCTTCCATACACCCTGGCACTGACTGTCCACAAATGGTACCAGAAGCCCTTTTTTCAGATACACTCTCTTTCAGTTCTGTGGAGCCATCTTGGTGAAATTTGGAGGCTTTTCCTTCAGGATCCCAGCTCCAGAGGTTTTCAGAAGCAGTGACTGCTTGAGCAGGAATCTAATTTCATTTTGTTTCCAGAACCACGAGAGAATCATGGGTTGTAGAACACCGAAATCTCATCAGTGTCCCAGCCTTCATGCTCTCCAAAAACTAGACATGAACTTGGTGGACCTGTGTTCCCTACAAATCAGGAATTGAGGAAATTTTTTATAAACATTGAGAACAGACCTAGTTTGTAGCTGATTTGTATTGTTATTGGTTTCTTTTTTTCCTTGGGATAGTGGGGGAAAAAAGCAGTATCTTTTTTGGTAGATCCCTTCCTGATCTATGTTCTACAGAATTCTTCTCTGTCCCCAAACATCTGCTGCTTTTACTGTAACAGGTATATTAAGAATGTGTGGATGTTAGTTTCAAAGTGAGAAATGAGGTCTACTGGCAAGGGCCCAAGCAGAAAGTCCCAATTAGTGTCTTAGACCTAAGCTGAGTTAATTTCCAGGCCCCAGTGAAGCTTGGGGATTCTCAAGCTTCACTGGGGCCTAGAAATTAAAAAGACGGGTAAGTCACTATGGAAAGATTATAATTTATGAAAAAGATAGGCAGGACATTGTAGAAAGTTTTTTTTTTTAATTTCCCCCGAATTTTAGAAACAATCTTATAGGCTGGGTTGCACATAGGTGGGCATCAATTTATAAGCAGATGACCACTTTGCTTGACCTTATCACAGCTTTATTATAGTATTGTAATTAAGACTGAAAGAAAGAGAAGTCACACATTTTTCCACATTGCGTTGTGATACATTGCAGGTCTTCAGTGATTTGCATGCAACAAGGAAATTCTAGCATATGTTGTGTACAAAAGATGATTTACACACAGTTTCAAAGAGCGAGTTTTCCGGTTTCTATGTATTTAAAATTGACACCCATTTTTGTTGAATGTTTTTTGTTTCCATAAAATGAAAGCAAGTTATAAAAAGATCCTCACTGACTTGTTTCCAAGAGGTAAATCTCTGATGTTTGTTTTTTTCTTTGACTAGAAGAATAAGGCTGTCACTCTATGGTTGGGACCTTTTTACACTCTGTGCCTGGGGGTCCTGTTTAACTCATAAGCCTCTGCCACAGCATTGGCTGTCCACAAGAGAGTGGAAGTCACCTACAAAGATTACCTTTGTGCCTCATGTTGTCTGAGACTCAGAACTATAGAACTGCAGGTATCTAAGAAGGGACCCAGGCTTCCCACATTTTCCAAAACCCTAGATTGGAGCCATTTGAAGTATAGTCCTTTAATGATGCAAAACTGCAGACCTTGTACACAGTATACATCCATTGCACAGAGGGAAATCTTGGCAACTATAGGATAAGGACTGAAAAATTTAAAACCACACACCCCATGTTCAGAGTGAAAATTATCTTCACTGACAATGCTGTCTCTTCTCCAGTCTCATTGCCACCAAGCAACCTCAGTTAGTTCATGTTTCTTTCACTGAAGATGCACTTAATGTCAGGTACTTGTAAGGCTGTAATTTCTTAGCCAATCCTAGGAAAACAAAACCCCTTCTAACCTTAGAAGATAATACTAACCTTTCAGATATTTGAAAACAGGTAAAGTTTAGTGGTGTTAATTTGCAATACTGCCCCATGTTTGTAGTATGTATAAGCATATAATAGTTTTTTAGGTGTCTCTTAGCAAGACAGGGATGAGCAAGCAATGTGGTATGCTGGAAACTGAGATTTTTGAAATAAGGAAACAGCTGTTCTTATTTAGGAAAGTAAACAATTGATAAATAAGGCAAAATAGACTTCTAAAATTCATATCGATTAAAAACCTTTAACTTACCAATAAAACACCACCTGGATCTTTAAACTGTTAAGGTGTTTAAATTATCAGGAAATCAAAATTTAGGGAGGGGATTAAAGTTTATTTTTGTTCTCCTTCCGTCCAAACAGCATAGTAGTAATAGTTTTGGTCACTCCTGGCTTTTATTGGGGATTTCCATCTTGGGCCAGAGGGAAACAGCATGGAAGCAACTTGTATAGTTAATAGTTTCAGTTTAAAAGATGTTACTTTCAGGCAGAATTTCTGAAATCACCCTTTGTAAACACAAGGGATATTTTTTTATTTTAGGAGAGCAACCAGGTGAAGCAACATGTAAGATCTGGAGGAAGGGGTTTTCTTATGGGAGAGGGAGAGAAGAAAGGAAGAAAACTTAGTTTTACTGTATGGTCGAAGTACCCTCCAGGCGTGCGAGGTGCGGATTTGCAGTCAGCACCATGCCAGCCCATTTCCTAACAGTCTTCATTCACCTTGGAGAGCGGGTTGTGGGTAGTTTGTATCACGTCGGGGGTCTCTCCTATTTCCACTCACTGGCCTTTGCCCAGGGACTTCAGACATCAAGAGGACGCCACAGAGGTTTCGCTAAGTGCCTGGTCTTCAGAGTGGGGACGATCCCTTTCTCTCGCGAGCTTAGAGGTGCTGCCGTCCCCGCTGAACCGCTGGTGAAAGGTGCAGGTCGGCGGTGCTGGCCTCGGCGCGGGCTCCGGGACACGTGACCCGCGGACAGCGTTGGGAGAGAGCAACTACCAGGTCTCACGGGGGAGCGGGACTCCTCCGCCCCGGCATCCACACCTTCCCGCCTGGCTGGCCTCGAGCTGGGCTGCCGACTTGGGAAGATGGCGTCGGCTGAGACGCAGCCGCCCAGGGGTGGGGGTGCACTCCGCACCCAGGAGGCTGGGCGCGAGCGTGGGTGGGTCGTGTTTTCCCTCGCCACCAGTTAATCCTGAGGCACATCCCCCGGACTGGGAGAAACTGGCGCTGCGCCCTTCCTGCCCTTCGCTTCGGGTCCCCAGACCCTTCCCTGGGGGCGCCGACGCACGGTCCGAGAGCCTCGAGGTTCGTTCCTAGAGGCGGTAGGGACAGGCCGTGAGAGCGGGGACCAGGAGGCTCTGCCGAGACCCCATCATCAGACCCTGTTCCCCGACTCTTGGAAGAAACATCCCATGGCTAGAGCCAGGCTTCTCCTAGTCCGCAAGCGCGGGGTCGCCAGGGCAGGTGCGCGCTAGCTGCGCAGCTCCCTCCAGCCTCCAGAGCGGTGCAAGGGACCCGTTCCGCCCCGGCTTGCAGCGCCCAGCCCGGCCTTCACGCCATGAGCGCCGGCGCCTCACGGGCTCGAAAGCTGGTGTGAGTAATAGTGAACTGTTTTTGTCACTTTCTTAAGATGCATCATCCCTGGTTTCTCTTGTTTCATTACGAAAAATCCCAGAGAAACCACCCGGCAGGATCAATCAGACGCAGGCAGCCAGACAGTTTTCTTGTACTTTATTAAAGTGTAATCAAACATCGGTTAAGTGGAAAATAAATATCCAGATCTAATAAGCTG